GGGCGGGAAGGGAGAGCGAGCAGAGGTGCGGCGTGCCGGCAGGGGCTGAGCAGCCGCGGGACCGTGTGGGGGTCAGCCCTGGTCCCCGGGCCTGGTCTCTCGCGCCGCCCTGTCCCCCGCACACGCCGTAACTGCATGGCTATGACCCCCACCTCGTCTTGTCTCTGTACCTTTCTCCTGGGCCCAGCTTGGAGGGGCAGGCAGGGCTGTGGGTCCTAGGACCCCGGGTGAAGGGTGGACATGAGGACCATTGTACCTGGTCCCCTTCCCTCTCCGAGTCTCTTCCAGCCTTGAGGAGCCAGGCCGGGCCCGGCCCCCGTGTTCCTTGCTGGGCTGACCTGGTCCCCCAGCGCCCCTCCCCCAATAGGGCGCCCCTCCCTTGCCTGTCTGCTCCCTTTTGAAGTTCACTTGGAATTTAAAAATAGAAATAACCCCAGCTGGGGTTGGGGGGTGCAGAGGGGCCTTCTGATCTCCCAGGGCACAGGAAAGAAATGAGCCTCCCAAGACCCCCTCCCTGGGAATGCCCAGTGCTTCGGGGCTGAGCTAGAGGACGCCCCCCACGCGTCACCACCTGCCGGGGAGAACGGGCCGGGAGGGAACGTAGACACGTGTTGCTTTGCCAAATGTGTTCACTGTGTATTTCTCTCTCCCCTCGCTCCCCTCCCGCCGTGTGTCTGTCCGTCTGTCTCCCCCCAGGCCTCCTGACCTGTAGGAGCCAGGCGGTGCAGGAACACGCCGGCACCACCATGGGGCTGGAGGCCATAATTAGAAAGGCGCTCATGGGTAAATATGATCAGTGGGAAGAGCCCCCGCCGCTCGGTGCCAGTGCTTTTAACCCTCTGACCGCCAGCGCCAGCCTGCCCGCTGCTATGCCCGTAACCGCTGCTGACGGACGGAGTGACCACACGCTCACCTCGCCAGGTCTGCAGGCCGCCCACCCCACCCCATGTCATTAATCCTCCTTCGCGCCCCACTGACAGCCCCCAGCTTTGGAGCTTGTGACTTGACTTTCATGCGCGTGTGACGTCATTCTGGAGTTCGCTAACCCAAAGCCGGGCCCAGGCCCTGTGCCACCCGGCCGCAGGCGCTGCTGCTTCTCGGATCACGCACGCTGCCCCCCGGGCTGCCCCGCCCTGCCCTGCCCTCTGCCCCTGCCGGCCCGGCGTCGTGGGGGAGGCCAGGGCGGAGTGAGGGCCCACCACGCTCCGTGACTAGAGGGACAGTAGCTAGTCAGTGCCTGGTGTCGGCAGGGGGCGGTGCCCCAGCCGCTGAGCCCCCAACACCTTCCACTTCCGAGCACGTCCAGCCTGGACACTGAGGCCCCGAGGAGTTTGCAGGCTCCTGGGGGGAGGGCTCAGGCATGTTCTGGCATCTTGCCTTCTCTACAGAGGGACCCCAGCCTGCCCAGCCCGGCCTGCAGGGTCCTGCAGCTGCCCTCAGCAGGGAGCCGGAGGCCTGGGCTTTGAAGCTTGGGCGGGATGCAGGACGCCCTGCGGGGGCACTGTAGACCATCAGCTCACCCCCTTGTAGAAAGAAACTGGCCGTGTGAGCGACCCTCAGCCTCGTGGGTGGGCATAGGTGGGCCCTCGCTGGGCTCTCGTGGGGATGCAGGTGGCCTCCCGGTGCAGGGCCTCACCACCTACCCTGCCCCGCTGCAGCCTCAGTGCCGTCCAGGGTCCAACACAACCCCTCCCGCTCTGCCCCCTGCAGGTGGTGGAGGAAAGGCCAAGGTCTCCGGGCGACCCAGCAGCAGGAAAGCCAAGTCCCCGGCCCCAGGCCTGGCGTCAGGCGACCGGCCGCCCTCCGTCTCCTCAGTGCACTCGGAGGGGGACTGCAACCGCCGGACGCCACTCACCAACCGCGTGTGGGAGGACCGGCCGTCGTCGGCAGGTGTGTTGGACTGGGGCTGTGCTGGCGGGGTGGGCGTCCAGCCGGGCTGAGCGCCCCATCCAGGGCCGGGCCAGGCCAGGCCAGCGAGTCCTGGCTCACAGACAGCTGCGACGTTCCCTCCGAGGCATGGGCGGGGAGGGGTGCTGGGCCATCAGGGAGCCTCCCTCTAGACTTGGCCGGAGAGGGCATGGAGCGTTCGGGGAGCCCCAGCTGGGCACAGAGGGCCGTGGGCAGGGCCAGCGTGTGCTGCTGCTTGCTTAGCACAGAGCCCTGAAGATTCTAGATGGGTGTGCACCGTCTCACGAGGGCCTGACGCTCCAGCGGGGCTGAGCACCGGCTGAGGGGGCCAGCAGTGGGGAGACTGCCACCATTAGGACGGCGGGGCAGGGAGAGGCAGCGGGACCGCTCCCACGAGGGGGAGAGGCTGTGGGGCAAGCCAGGGGCCGCCGGCTCACAGCCTCACGGGTGGCCGCCCTCTGTCCCACAGGGTCCACCCCGTTCCCCTACAACCCTCTGATCATGCGGCTGCAGGCGGGCATCATGGCCTCCCCGCCCCCGCCTGGCCTCCCCGTGGGCAGCGGTCCCCTCGCCGGCCCACACCATGCCTGGGATGAGGAGCCCAAGCCCCTGCTCTGCTCGCAGTATGAGACGCTGTCCGACAGCGAGTGACCCCGACGGTGGAGCCAGGCCCCAGTGAGCTGCAGGAGTGGCCCAGCGGGAGCAGGCAGCCGCCGGCCCCCGCCACTGGGGAAGGAGCCCCTGAGTCCGCCTGCGCATCTGTCCGTCCGTCCGTCCAGAGCCGGCATCCTTGCCTGTCTAAAGCCTTAACTAAGACTCCCGCCCCGGGCTGGCCCTGCACAGTGACCTTACTCAGGGGATGTTTACCTGGTGCTCTGGAGGGGAGGGGAGAGGAGGGGAGGGCCGGGGAGGGGCATGGCAGGCGCGTGGTGGCCACACGCACGCGGCCGGGGCGGCCAGGGACCCAAAGCAGGACGACCACGCACCTCCACGCCACTGCCTCCCCCATGGCGCATTCAGAACCAAAGTCTAAGCTGAGCTCAGCCCCTGCGCCTGCCCTCCGCCTCCTGTCCCGCTTAGCCCTCTGGACAGGTGGACACGGGCCTGGCCAGCCCCCAGCGCACTCGTGCCAGTCCCCACAGGCGGCCCCAGCCAACAAGACTGCCGGGAACCCAGTCAGGTCAGGTGGGCGGACGAAAGGGCCGGGTGCAGCCTGCAGCGAGGGCTGCTCGAGGAACGGGACTGCTTCGTACATCGTGGCCGGCGGTGGGAAGAGGCAGATGAGGTATTGGTTTACAGGGTATATTTTTGATACCTTCGATGAATTAGTTCAGAAGTTTTACACGAGGAAGGACTTACCCAGTGTTACTGCTGCTGTGCTTCCGACTCTGCTCGCCGTGGGGAGGCATGTGCAGGCTGACAGTCGGACAGCGGGAGAGACCGTCGTCCGGGGCCCGGGGGCCACGGCTCCTGAGCCGCCCCGTCCGGGCCTCCCTCCCTCCCTCCCTTGGGCAGATTTGAGTCGGACGCGAATTCTGCAGCCGCCGTCCGCGCATGGCGGTGGTGTCCTGTCATTTACACGTCGTTCTAATTAAAAAGAGAATTATACTCGAGGTACAGAGGTCTCTAGCTGTCGGTGGCTGGGAGGGCGGGCTGCTGACTTGGCCAGCAGGAGGGTGACCCTGTGGGGCCACACCCGTGTGGTCACGGTCACACTGTGAGGTCGCCCACTGCCCCTGCCTGCCCTGAGTAGCCAGCAGAGAGAGCCTGCCCCCTGCATGTCATGTGACTGTCCTAGCAGCCTACTGTCACACCTTGGAGGAGTCACAGCCTCCAGAGTTGAGCAACCTGAGGCCCGGAGGGCTGCGGGGCCCACTGACTGTGCTCCATCCTGTTACCAGCGGCCTCGCTGCAGGC